GCTCATGTCTCTCGCTCACTTCCTTATTTTTATTTGACAGCCCCTCATTATTGTCTCCTCCGGGAGATTATCGTCCGAGTTGTTGAATATCGGCATAAAACAACAACTGCCTCTTGAGTTTATGTAACCAGAACCATTTGAGTATCAGGTGGCTTATTTTCCGTTTGGTATTCTTTTGATATTTTTCTTCACTTCTAGTTCGTGCTTGACCCAATATAATCTGACCGCGCATATTGGTTGCTTTGCTTCGGATTGGACCTTGAGCTCCTGCATACTACACTGGTCGACATTGGTGAGATACACATATATCCTGGGATCATCAATAATACCGTGTCTCCTCTGTGGAGTTCATTGTCTGGGGGGCTTTGTCAGGGATTCACTCTTCATTTCCACGTCTTGCTTCTTTTGTCTATAATTTTAACCCCAGTTAGCTGTTCAAGACACTTCAAGTTACACAAACACGATCCAGACTGAATGGACGTGATCATAGCTCTATCCGACGTCTATCACACACAATGCCTAGACTCCGCCCTATGTTGTGATGGACCTTGCTCGAAATCGGAATAGGAAAATGGCCATTCAGGTACAAGGGAACAAAGTTAATTGTCATTTTATACACTCTCTCCATGGCCTATACTCAAAACCTTGGTCTCCAGCGATCAGCAAAAGGATATTGGAATCGGGATATATAAATACAATGACAGTACCAATACTTCAGATATAATTAACCTCGTGATCGGCGGACAGTGAGTACTCCGTAATTTGTACATAGTTGAGAATTTCAAACCAAAAGAGCGTTGTACTCTCTTGTGCTACGGTTGCACCTTGTTTTTATAATTTTAATTAATTTATACTTTTTCCTTTATTGTACCTCTTCCTGCATACGTCTCGACGCTGTTTCCCGAAAGACGCAGGGTCCTTCTCCGTGTTTCTCAACCCATATCGAGGATTCGATCGCTGTGCCACTTCGGAAAATCGTCCCTCTTGGATTATATCGAAATATCAAATGTAGTCAAAAGAGAATAAAAGTATCATTTTGTTTCTATGCTTATGCTGCAGCTTAGTGCTACGGTTCATGATCTCATCTGTCTCCTATCGAGCCTGTTCGTATATTGGCGCCGTACCCGCGACGCCCAGAAGATCACAAAAAGATCCTCATACCCTCCGGTCCTATTCAGATCAGATCCTTTTACCGTGACCAATATCCGATCAATCTACCTATTACGTGGGGCCAAAAATTACTAATATCCAACACAACACTCCAACATCAAGTATTCAAATCCCGTGTGTATCTTTTACTTGTTTCAGGGACTCTTCAGAACAACGACTTAGCCTAGCCTCTACTGAGCCCAAGGCATCTTCAGCCTGCGGGAATTAGACCATTTTTTTGTCTGATTCGGCGCCACTTTCTTAGCAGCAGACTTGTGAGTCTTAATTGTTTCTGCTCGTGACCAATCACGAGACGGGTGTTTTCATTCTTTTTTGAATTGATTTTCTCTTTTCTTTTCTTTTTTTTTCTTTTCCAGTTGCCCCTTGCAAGACTTTTCCCCGATAGAGACATAATAGAAAGAGATCAAAATCTTGATTTGCGCAAGATTACCATTTCCAGTTATTAACGAGTCGATGTCCTCTCTTTGTCTCTCAGTTGGTTGCAGAACACCTGAACAATCAGGCTCCAATCTTCACCGCCTCGAGTCCCTTCCCCTCTCAAACCCAAGTTCATCCGAGATCCTACCTAAAAGGCTCCAAGCTCCTGACTTGACCTAATTCGATCTACCCTAGAGGTCCGAAAGTCTTGCCTGGGCATCTCCTGCTCTATTGCGCTACTTTTCATTTTGTCTCTGTCCGGATACCTTGCGCGTTGACTTGACGCGCCATCTTGCGACGGGTGCTCTAACCGTCCGACATTTGAGCCGCTATGTATGGCACATCCCACTCCTTATCTACAATGAACGGTATGGATATTATTGATGGCTCGGGGACCATCGATCCCGCAAACTTGAGCAACTCCGGTATGTGTCTTATCGCATTTCTTGCTACCTTGGCCTCGCGCCTTTCATTTCCTATTTCGTCCTCAAATCACAAATTCTCGCGCGCGACCTGTTTTCTTACTTGGTGGAATGAATCACATCTTCCTACTCATCCTCTACTCTACTTGTGTATTCCTTCCCCATCGGTGCTTTCAAACTGATACCCCTCCTAGTCTCTGTTGCCCTACCAGCACATTCCCCTGCAATAGCAAGCCCCCGTGGTGTCAAGCGTAGTCGCACTCCGGACCACATGGGAAATGGACATGTCGAAAGGGATCAGGATGATGGTACGTGCGTGGGAGGGCATTGTCAATAGGTTCTATCCAGAACCGTGCTATATTCCCAGCAGCGCTTGCATCTTGCCTAGTCACAGCTTCTACACTTCACAGGATGGATGCTAACATTGCCTTGTTTGTTTGTTTTTAGAAGAACAAAGTCGCCGCAAGCGCGGCCGTCCCCCAAAGACACCTCGGCCAAGTTCTAGTGAACATGCCATCGCAAACACACCTATCCAAACTCCTCAAATGCAAGCACGTCCACTATCGCAAGCCACCGCCGGGTCGCCATCTCTTGCATCACCGGACAGCAAAAGCACACCCACAAAAACGCTGGTCAAAGCGCTCCCTACTGTGAGAGATCACACATCAGACCAGCTGAACGAAGAAGGCGATGAGTACATCCCAAAAGAGTTTGATGAAGCAGGAGAGACCAAGGCGGATCCTATGGGATATCCGCAAGGTGGCCGTGAGTATAAATGCCGGACATTCCGCGTCCCCCTCCGGGGCAACAAGCTATTCATGCTTGCAACTGAGTGTGCGCGGGTGTTGAATTATCGTGATTCATATCTTTTGTTCAACAAGAACCGATCGTTGCATAAAATCATTGCTTCTCAAATCGAGAAAGACGATCTTATCCAGCAAGATATCCTGCCGTATTCCTATCGCTCCCGGCAAATCGCTATCGTCTCCGCTAGATCCATGTTCCGACAGTTCGGGAGCCGAGTGATTGTGAATGGCCGACGGGTTCGAGATGACTACTGGGAGACCAAGGCTAGGAAGCAGGGCTTTACGGAGGATGACCTCGCGGGTGAGAAACGTCCTGGGGCAGCCAAGGCTCGGGATGGTTCCGTTTCAGAGCCAGCCACAAACCTGTTGCCGGCGCTACCTCACAACGATGTTGTCTACAGTAATGCCATCGAGCCATTGCCTCACGGGCTTTCGCTGGATGCTTCTGAATCTTCCATCCCCCTAGCTCCACTTCCCATGATCCATATGTCGACAACGGATGACCCTCGGCTGCGGGATTACACTGTCATGTCTCGTGCACGCCAGGAATTGACCGGACAACCTTACCACGACCGCACACAAACTAGCTCAGCAGCCGACCTCATCAACCAAGCCCAACACACATCTGATTTCAACAAGATGTTGAGCATTCAGCGCAGTTTCCGCCAAAAGGGCTTGGATGAATTTTACTCCAAGCCCCGCGAGGCCCCAGCCTCAGAGGCCCAGCCTAATACTGCTCTTGAATCGGGTTTGTCTGTGTCACAGCCGGTTCAGGTATCACAGATTCCCTCGGCGGGGATCCCAAATCCCGCTCATACGCAGCATATGCTCCCTCAGCAGGTTCCCATGCCACCCAATCCAATGATGGGTGGACAACCAGGCTACCCCCAACAGGCTCATCCACAATCCGTTGGACAGTCTCCCATGAGAATCCCACCAAACATGCAGCCCAGTCTTATGCAACAGCGGTCCAACCCATCCATGGGTGGTGGTATGGGCCAAGCTCCTCCATACGGATATTCACCGCAACAGCAGCAGATCTGGGGACAGCCACCCCCGCAGCCGCAGCCGTCCCCGCTACCGTCGTCCGGCCACCAGGGCGTTGGAATGTCTCAGTATGGTCAACAAATGTCTGCAGCTCCGCAACAAAGCCCATCTCCCCTCGGGCATCATCCTCAGCAGCAGCAACAGCAGCATCATCACCAGTCTCCTCGCAACCAACAGCGACAGTCAATACCTCAGATGCCCCAGCAATATTCCCAAATGCAACACCCCCAGGCGGCACAGGCTCAGGGTATGCAGGGCATGGGATATCCGGGAGCCAACCCGGCCGGCTATCCGGGCATGGCACGACCCATGTACCCACCCAGTCAGGCTCATGGTGGACAGCCCTTCATGGGCGGGAACTCTCAACAGGCGGGACTTGCAATGAACATGGCAGGCAATGGTATGCCTGGATGGCCTACCGGACCTGGCGGCCCCATGCAACCCGGACAACCTCAACCCGGCCAGTCTGGCAGCCCCTTAGGAGGTGGGTGGTCGTACTAGCTCGCGGTGGCCGGCGTTATCTAGATTGGCGTTTTCTTTTTACCAGCTTTTACACTATCATCTGAGGCGTGGTTATTTTTCTTCACTTTCGCCACATGCTTTCATTCATACCTGATTATTCTCCTTTTCCGTTGTTTCAGTGTTCCACTGCATTCTTCACTGCCTCGCATGGTGAAGGATGTTCGGTTAATGTTAATCCGGGCCAATCTTCCTATACCCTTTGTTGAGTTGTACTTAGTCGAGGTACCTATTTCTTTGTCTACTTATTCTTCTTTCTTCTTGTTTTCTTAGTTTGTCTTACTGGCGTTGGGTCCGTGTTCGGCGTTTATTCTACCCTTTTGGACAGAGTGTTACAGGATTATGAGTATGTATGTTTTTGTTCTGTTTCTTATACATGGTCGATAGAGGGTGAATTATGGACAGTCTAGTTTTCTTGCGCCTTGGCCGAGATGTCTAATCGTCTCTTGGCCGTCAAAGAAATATGTGACCCTTGTTTGCTTGCATCTTGACACTGTGTTTCACTTCTATTCTTTTTTTTAGATCCCGAGGCTTCATTCTTGTCGTTATATCAATCATGTATACCTGTTGAGTGACGGTTTTTTTCTCGGTGTACTTCGTCTCTACTGCTCTCTGTACTTTATTTATTCTGTCGGTTTCAGTTAGCATGAGATTACCACCCTATTTGGGGTTTTCTTCTCTCGTATATACATACCTACTACGTTCGCTAGTTTTTCAAGTTGATCGCGAGCATTCCTTGTAGTTACTACCTAGATAGACTAGACGGTTTGATAGAGTGTTCCATCGAAAATAACATCAACCGTTGTTTACTGTATAGCCACGAGCGTGGTTGTTTTCCCCTTTTGTTGCCGTTTTCTTGGCTTCTAGTTCATTGATATATATATAGTGTGTAAAAACTGAAGTCATCCATCGTCCGTCCGTCCATACATTATATAATAACGGAAGGGATCCATCCTCGGAACAGAGCAAACCCCCCCCCCCCCCAAAAACAAAAAGAAACGTCCCCGGGAAGGCTTGAACTTCCAACCTCCCGATTAACAGTCGGACGCGCTAACCAATTGCGCCACGGAGACTTGTTCAATGAAAGACCTAGGATGTTTTGGAACTATAAGCAAAGTTCTATTACTATGTCTTCACTTGCTACAATATCATAGTATATTATCATGCTCAAAATTCAAGTTCCTTTGTCTAACAATGATGGAATACTTTAAAGCTCCTATCGAATATAAATAAAATATTTGTTTCCACCTGGAAACAGTAAAATAAAGGGGAGGTTTTGTTTCAGGTGTCATTATCCCGATGATATATATGTCTCTACACTACCCTTTCCGCCGACGCCTTAGGCTTGTTCATGATAGCTGTCAATTGCCACATGAACACATAAACAAAGCCCCCCCCCCCAAAAGGCAACAGACACCACCAATAGGGAGATGACAGACCCCCCATCCTATCATAGGAAAGGGCCATTGATAGTCCCAAACTCTTCAATTAACCAAACCGTCATCAGATATAGCATACAGTTATTGGAGTTAGATATACACTATATATCAATGAGTATGTCAGAAATACGAAAATTTAGGATACATAGGCAAAATTGAAAGTTAACCAGCCAGAAGGGATCATGTTCCGCCACAAGAGGACACATGGAATTTTCGCCCCAAGAGAGGAAGAGTAACCGGCATCCCAAGAATCTTAAATCCAATGGCATCTGCTCGAGTGCCACCAAATCTGCTATCATGCCCCAGAGGCCCTCTTACATGCAACAGACCAAGGACCCCAAATTAGATCCCCGGTGGGCTGGGTTGTTTATCATCACCACGACGTAAACCGGACAACCCAACATAACACTTATCCAAATCAGAACAATTCGAACCGGCATTATGGGCACCCTTCGGCCCCTACAAGAAACTAATATTTATACGTACATGCCCCGAGTAATACAATAGAAGTACGATGGAAAAACCATAGACTACCCAAGTGCCTGCTCTCGTATTCACAGTTAACACCAATTTAGCCTCGCCACCACCAGTTACTGGTGCCTCTGAATAACCGGAGCCCAATAAGACCAAATTACACCAGCCACCAAGCAGACTAACCCAGAACTGGCGTATTCAGCATCCGGACCGAGATTATCTGGTACCACAAATACCATAGCCATAGATTACCTCGCAGTCATCGGTTGGTCTTTATCTTCGATATTTCGTAGTCAGACCCTGCCAGCATCAAGGGGTACATATATTTCTCCCCACTCCTTAAACATGATCGAGACATAAACAACATCTCATTCTAATTTCGACGGATATAAAACCTCCAATACAGTACCCGCATCCATGGATACACCTGGTGTAGTCCAACGAATAAAGTTTGACGTTTAAATGAACCTCTCACTATCATTGTATGATCCAACTTTTTTAAATAAATAAACCATGACAAGAGTTACAATTGTCCTGCAAATGAAAGAAATAGATTTCATAGAATCTATTTTAAAAAATAAAAAAAAAGAAACGTCCCCGGGAAGGCTTGAACTTCCAACCTCCCGATTAACAGTCGGACGCGCTAACCAATTGCGCCACGGAGACTTGTTTGATGAAGAGCGACCAACATTTATGGCATATAAGGCAATACAAATCTCACAAAAGATTGATCAGGGTTTTAGATACTAACGGAAGGACAAAAACGAAGAGAATAAGAAAAAGCTTGAAACCATTAGATTCTAAATTCTCGAGAGATTGAAATGGGAGAGATCTACTCCACGAATGTCTCAAACTTTGCAGAGCCATGCTCCCTTCTCTACCTTGATTTAAGCCTTTCATAACTCACTATCTAGGTATGTAACCATGGGTTTAAATAACTATCTGGGTACCTAACTATATAGGTAATTAACTATTTATTTACTAAATAATCTAGTAACTAAATAGTTTCTATTACTCGCAATTTTAAATAGCCCTATGCTTGAACTACTGCTTTATGATATCGTAAACCCACCTACCAATCTAGGATAGGAACCATCTGTGGAAAAAAGGGAAGGGAATGAAAGAAAAAGAAAATACATGTGCCACGTTTGGAGATCAAGACGACCAGACGTAGAGTCAAGGGAAAATCCATAAATACATTCCTGGAGATCTAGACGACCAGGTAAAAGGGGAGGTGAGGTACTCCGTAGTCAGTTATCAGGTAGGTAGACACCTCAAGGGACTTTGTTCTGTAAATCGCGCCCACTATGTATCCCTCTAATTAGGGGTTGTGGGTTGGTTAAACGGTGTGAAAAGGCAATACGGACATCTAGGCAATCCCTTGCGGAAACGGGCTCTATTCACCAATGATCTCCAGTTTGTAAGAGCTAACCAATCCCGGCCATGAATGGTCCAGAGTGCTGTTGGGTATTGCGAGAATGAATAACCGCTGTGCCGGGCACTGGCACCAGTCATCGAGTAGCCACATCCTTCAACACGAAGCCAAATGAGGTTCCAAGGAGGAAGTGATATATGACCATCAAAAACACCCTCCCAGGTACCCGTCATGAGCCGAATGTGGATCAACTCAACGCGACGCAACGCATCGTGAGCTTGTATGAAAATCTTCTTGAGGGTTTCATCGTTGATCCTCACACCTTCAAGCCGGAAGCTTTCCAGTTTAGTGAAGCTCTCTGCTTCCAGATCAGACACATCAAACCAGGTACGGGCATCCAGGCTAAAAACCTTGATCCGTTTCGCATAGGAGATGAGCTGAACGAGATAGGGGGCAAATCGATCGGGTGGATACTTGGTTTTGATCACCGAGCGGGGCCATTTCGGGTCTCTTCTGCCATCGGGGCCAGTGCTGTCATTAATAGTGATGTGTAGCTCTTCGATCTGAGCGAAAATGTTGGTGAAGTCCCTGGCGTAGCTGTCCGACTCGAAGAAACGAGCAAATTCCGCGGTGGTTGGCATAGACATATGGAGACACTTCAGTCTCGGGATAGGCACAAAGCGTAAAGTGTTTACAAGGGAGTTTGTCAGCTTGGCAAGCATCGGCGGCTTGAGTTGTCCTTCTTCACTGAATGTGTCCACCACACTGGGGGTTTGCAATCGGAATGTTTGGATGTTTTGGAAACGACTGATCAAGATTGGAAGAGCTCCTGCTGCCAGGTCGTCGATGTATCGATCATAATCCAGTCCGGGCAGCCATGATCCTACGAAACCAAAACGCACGTCGCGTACATAAACGGAGTATGGGCTTTCAGAAATCTTCAGGATGCTATCGAGAGGTCGACCAGCAGAGTATCCGACGACTGCCTGGATGTTCCTAAAGAGGAGAGGAGTTGCAATCCTGTTCCAGATTTGGTTAACCAGTCTCAAGGTCGAAAGGGTCTTTTTTGTCGCCGGGTGTTCGAGGACATCGCCATAAATGAAGTCATATTCCTCATGTGAGAAACTAGTAAGCGTGGCATAGAAGACCTGACATCAAGTTAGCCTGCTTTAAGCTCCATTGATTTGACCGAGTGTTGTACTTACTGTTTCCCAGGCTTCATACGGGAGCGATGGCTCCCGTGCCAAGTACCGAAAGTCGCTAGAAGTTTCACCAGACTGCACGTTATTAGGAGTCCGCGAAGGAGAATGATTCAAGTTTACGGATGGATGCCCGTCGAGCGGGGAAGGCGTGTTGGGAAGGCCCCGAGCGGGGGAAGGGCTTTCAGCCAAGTGAGGAGTCCTAGGGGAGGAGGTGCCGCCAAACAAAGAGGTGTAGGAAGAAGAAACCCTACCAGGAGCACTAGTAGGATCAGTAGGTGCATCACGCGGAGCCTGCCGAACGGGCGGGCTGTTCAGGGCCATCGCAGCCAGCTGCACTGACGGCGAGCTGTTCAAGACCATCGCAGAGAGCCGCGACGAGGGCGGGCTTTGCGCCTGCGATGGATCCATTTCTGTAATCGAATCCGAAAAGAGCGAGTAACAACGCGATACGAATCAGCAGGCTACCAAGAGTGTCCACGAAGATGCTTTATGAAGAGTAAACAAAGCAGTAGTGGTTTGTTTTGATGAAGGAGAGTTTGTTATGAGGGATTGGGCCCTTGGCCTGAGGCAAGCAGAGTGCTGATACACTCTTATGATTAATACCATCTTGTTCGTCTCAGAAAACGAAACGATACGAAGGAAAAAACAAGTAGGTGTATGAGAAAGAAGTACATGTACCTACCAGAATATGGGAAGAGCAATACTGACATGGTACGTGCGCCTCCTAACGACTTACCTGAGCAAACAGGTTATACACACTTGGAATGATTGACCAATCACGACCAAGCATAGAAAAAAGATTGACCAATCACAACGAAGTATGGAGAAAGAAGCGTCCCATCCAGAGCCTCATGGAGTTCCAAGGTCCAGTCGTTTCACACTTCCGAGGTTATTTTCACAATCAGTGCAGTCGTGGTATGTAAAATCTCGGTTCCCCAATTATGAACCCCAGCCATTATAGATACGGCACTGTGTTTGATCTGTCCAGTTCATAATCTCGGTAATAGCACAAAGCCATTATTCCTGGATCCACTAATGAAGCCATCCACACTGACCTTTGCCACAATCAAGTCTCCGTGGCGCAATTGGTTAGCGCGTCCGACTGTTAATCGGGAGGTTGGAAGTTCAAGCCTTCCCGGGGACGTTGCTTTTTTTTTTTTTCCCTCTTTTAACTTGCTACCAGTCATGTTATGACCTGTGAATAGACAATTCACACCCTTATTTTTGCTGCACAAGGGGCTAGCTAGGTTAGTTAGGGTAGGGTAAACGCCAAGAGAGGGGATATTCAAAAGATATTTATCCAACAACAGTTTAAACAGGCATTGGGAAGACATCAAGATACTGCAAAAACTATTTAATAGACATCTAGAGGACATTTAGAAGAACTGAATATCGTGTCCCTCATACTATGTTAAGCCAAATGGATTATATTACTGATTTAGGTCGCCAACCATGGAAGGACAGTGGCCGCATAAGAGGCCGATTATTCTTTCTTGTATTGTACATGTTTGTTTTCCCTAGGTAGAGTCAAATGTCATCACAAAATCCTTCGTTTGAGTGTAAGTCGGGTCTACCGCGTACAAGTAAAACCATCTAGTCTACCTAACTTAGCCTACAAATCCCCCTAAAATCCGGTAGCCAAAGGGGTCGTAACAGGCGCCGCACCAGAAGGACAAACACAAGCCGTAGCCGATGAAACCGGCGGCTCCGTGCAATGCGGGCTCACCTCCCAAGGCACCGAAGAGGTGACGGGGGCCTTGCCTCCGATCCTCTCAGCCTTGACCAACACCGGAATAACAGCACCGGTATTCAACTTGAAGGTCCGGTGACCAATAACTCTCAGAATAGACGAGATTTCACCCGAATGTGATGTAATCGACACAAACGACTTCTTCTTGGACAAAGTAAAGAAAACTTCCCCCAATGCTTGGGCGCTCCGAATATCCTGTGCGCCACTGGTTTCACCAGTCACGCCATTCCACAGCTCATCCACCTCGGTAAATCCGTGCTCAATGGACCAGTGCGGGAACAGGTCGTGGATGTAGCTGCGATTATGGCGGTGGTCACAGGTGTGGACGCTGATACCTTCGCGGAAGAGTTCCTTGATGGTCGGCTTGAAGTGCGCGCTGCGCTTGGGTAGGTCCAGGTTCCCGAAGGTTAGGTTGGCGGTTTGCAGGGTGCGTGTCAGTGGGCTGACGTAGTAGTGGTCTGGTGTGTGGATTCGTTGTTCGTTTATCTCCTTTTGCCAGAACTCATTTGCTTTGAGCGCCTGGGTGATACCGCCGGGTGTGAGGGTGGCGTCTGCCCAGCTTGCTGTGCTGTTGCCGTCCAGTTCGGACCAGTAGCACTGAATGGAGATAGTTAGGTTGGTCCTAGTGCGAGGTTAAGGTGGCATCAAGGGACTTACGTTCCACGCCGGGGTGCCATAGTAGGTCTCGGCGGCATTGTGCCATCCTTCCCCATGTCGACCAAGGAACAGAACCTTGTACTCGATGTGCGGGGGAGAATGATCATTCAACTCGGCGACCTGGTTATGGAAGCGCTCCCATTGGGTTAGAGACTCATGTTTCTTGTTCTCGTTGTCTGCGGGATATGCGCGGCCAATCAGGCCGAAGTTCTCCGTCGTCTGAACATATTAGTGGACTGAATTAATGGCCAGTTAAGGCATCGATAAAGAGATAGTTCTTGAAGTAAAAATATTCTTAATTCGTCGGAATTTGAGCTTCACTTACATAGTCAAATGTAGAGGCATCAGTCGACTCCTCATCCTGCAGAAAGTAGCCTGTGACCGCAGAGTAATTGATAGTCGATGCCTGCGCGACAGCTAGGCCCACAAAGGCTGAACCGAGGGTGGAGAGTTTCATTGAAAAGCGAAGACACGCGGGTTTCAATTCCAATGTTTCAACAAACAATTTCGGTTTGTTTCTTCTTCTCTCTTAAGTTGAGATCGACAAATATCTTCCTTTTATACTTAGGTATAAACCTTGAAGACTGTAGCGCACGTGGCAGTTAAGGTTGCTGTAAGTTCCAGTGGCGCTTTTTGCGCGTTCCACGGTTCTGGACGATAACCTATAATCTGGCGCACGTGCTGAATCCATGATTGTACGATGTACGGAGTACGGAGTACAACATACATACCCCGTACAATTTGGAATAATATCCGGAATATGTACTCGTAGGAGCGAACCAGAAAGGGCAAATCACAAACGGCTTGAACTACATATAATAGCTGAGCCCTGACCGTTTGCCGGTGGATCATTATTTTGTTCATTTACTTCGGGTAAATGCCAAAAATAAGAGATTAACCCCTTTTTGATTGAGAGATATGAGATAGTATAGATACGTAGCAAATGTATGTATCATGGAAAATGTTAAAATAAGTCGAATGCTGCCAAAGTCATATGCAAACCCAAGTTTAAATCCCATCCACAAAAACCCGATTCCAAATCACGGGAATAAAAAAAAGGCCAAAGACAAAAGACAAATAATCAAAGGTAGAAGATAAAAAAGGTCTCGAGGTTCCCGTGAGGGAGCCGGCAGAAATTAAAAGGTCCTATCAGACATCAAAAATAACAAAAACAATCCCAGGCCAATAAACAACACGCAAGGAATGCTCCAAATATGTAAAAACCCGGTAAATAACTACACCCCGCAAATAAAGAGACACGAAAAAAAAAAGTATGTAGAAGACATAAAGTGACAGTGCTTCTCCGCGCACGGAGGGTTGGGTAGACAACATCTCCCTTGTGAGGGAAAGTGTAGGAAAACGAAGGTGAAAGCGAAAATTTTGCGAAGTGAACTCGTCCCAGACCAAAAACACCGAAAGTTGACGCGCATTTCTCATACATCCATAGTAAGGGAAAGATCAACGGATCTTCCCCTAGGAAGGGTAGTTACTTGGCGTCGTGTTGTTCGCGAACGTGTAGGCTTTCGGCTTCTGCATTGATGGTAACTGATGGCCACCAAAGTGGGTATCGTGCTCTGGGAATTCATGCATCATAAATTCAGTCCGCTTCCTCTCCGCAAGCTCGGCGGAGCCTGGCATGTCGGTATCTTCGATTGAATAGATCAAAGACGGAGAGCCAGAGACCGATTCCATGCCAAAGGCCTGTCCGGTGTGGTCGGTGGTCGCGTTATAGCCCATGGGCGAGACGGTGGTTGAGTGCGGCACCTGAAGACCCGGCGGGTACTCAGGCGAAGATATGGAAGCACTGTCGGCCCAGCTGCGGGCTGGCATGGGAACCGAATCACATGTAATATATTCAGGGAAGGAAGATACATGAGCCGGAGCCGACATCGGCGGGGCCACATTTTGGTAAGGGAAGGGGGAGTAAATATCCAGTGGCGTAGCAGGAGGTGATGCCATGTTGACCTGCATGGGTTGAGAGGTAGGGAAGAAGTGGGCTGTAGAGTGGGCCGACAAGCAGTAGTTGCTTTCCGTGGGGGAGGCAGGCATGAAATGCTGGAGGTCTTGCGGGGTCAAGGGAGTTGGTGGAGCTAGGCTAGTGGTTGAGACCGAGGGTCGCAGCATCTTCTCGGCCTTCTTGATAGACCCGGAATCCGCAAAAGTGAAATTGAGTGGAGACCGTTGGGCAGCCGATGCCTTTCTCACACCGGCATACCGGGAGTTGAGGCTTTGAGTTGACTTGGACTGCCTCATCGAGTTGCCGGCGCCGGAGTTAGGCATACGAGCGGTAGGCGAGAGTGAGGACATCGAGGTCGAGTTAACCAAAGGACGAGTTCCCGAGGTGCCAATGGCAGCGGGGCGAGGGCGCTTGCGGCGTGCAGCGAGATCGAGCTCCTTGCCGGGCTCCTTCCAGCAAGTTGCCTCTACCCGATCGACAGATTGAGACAGCCCAGATTGGCCGGTAGTACAAATTCCGATACCTTCCAGTGAGGCAGTCAGCGCATCAGAAGACTCACGACGTGTGACCGAGATATCAGGTGCCTGCATGGACATCGGATATTGCATGTTTCCGTAGACAAGGTTGTCGTGTCGTGATTCCCTGTCCTCAGACCACTCTTCCCTGTGAGGGGGCAGGTGGTTCGAGTATACGTCCAAATTATGCTGCATAGAGTGGGAAAGGTTTGACATTTCCGCCATGGGTTGGTGGCAATTGGAATATGAGGTCTGCTCTGTAGAGCTATATCCCACATTCTCATTGTGATCGCCGGATCCCCACGAAGCTGGTTCTTCCTTGATACTCGACCAGCCCGAAAAGGAGGAGTTTATGTTGGCAAGATTCCCATGGTCATTACCTGGAGTGGCTATTTTTGGTGGTGGCATTGATCCAGGGGACACTGCCTCCTCTTCGTCTTCTTCTTCTTCAGGAACAGACTCGTTCTTGCTCCGGGGGTTGATCCGGCGACCAAATCGATCCCGGGCAGCACAAGCTGCATTCAGCGCCCTCTGCAAAGACGCAAAAGTTGCTTCTCTTGCCGATTCACTCTTTGTTTTGTGGTGCTTGGAACGGCTGGATGTGGAATCTGTCTTGGCATGGCCACTGGATGTGGAGGTAGGTGTTTGCTTAGGAGTAGCGGATTTCTCCGATTCCTCCTTGGCAATCGATCCTTTTCGAGATCCAGACAGTTGGTCCAAGGTCTCTGATTTACGGCGAGCAGCCTCCTCGGCCTCCGCCTTGGCCTTCGTCATCTTTTCAAATTCCTCCTGGCGTTTTTGTTGCTTGGCCTTGGCTCGACGGTTCTGAAACCAATTCTGTTCACAGGATTAGCTCTGGGTAGACAAGTTTTCAGCTTCTGGTTGTACGTACCGCAACGCGAGGCAGACTCAAATTTGTCTGAGCCGCCAATTGACGCTTAACGTTGCTGCTTGGTTTCGGATGAGCCTGGAATTGGGCCTCCAGGGTTTCAACTTGTTCCTTGGTTAACCGTGGTCGCGACAGATTTTCCGTGTATTCGTCGTAGTCCATAATCGGTTGGTGGTAGTAGTCAATCATCTCTATTGGCGGGTGAGGGTACATGTAGCCGTCGATAGGATGCATCATCGGAGGAGGGACTATGGACGGGTCATATGCCATGTGTTGGTCCATTGGGATGCCCTGGTGGCCCTGGTAGTTCCATGAAGGGTGGATGTAACTCATGGCGACCTGAGAAGGAAAGGATGTAGGTACAGGAGGAAATTGTGGGAGGAGGCGTGAGAGAGATAGAAAGAGAGATTGGGACGGAGATGCTGTACGGGAAAGTAGCAGCTTGGAGGAGTGAGGTCTATATCATGAAGATTCGGTTTGGTCAATCTATAGCGATGGAGACAGGGACCTTGATTGTAAATGTAAAGAATGGCAGTACGGACAGTCCGTGATTCAAGGAAAAGAAATGAGCAGTGGTAGCTTGTGATAATGGTCGATGTTAAGGAGAGACTCGGGATTTAGGGACCCAAAAAGAGTGTGCATGGAAAAAGAAACCACGAAGAAAAAAAAAGCAAAGAAAGAGTCGAAGGAACGTAAAGGAAAGACTGTGTGGGAAAGGAAAAGGATGAAGAGAAGAAAGATGGAGTTTGGAGGCGCTGGGGGGAAGATCGGGGGTGACGGCTGGTAAAGCGCGGTACAGAGCTGCCGAACAGTTTGGTATGATTGGCTGGCGGGAGGGTATTGTCCAGTAACGGGTGGTAATCAGATGAAACAACCTTTGCAAAAGGTCTGTGCCTCTACTGGGTACATGAGACTTATGTACTATGAGTACCTGGCTTGTGGGTATCTGTACTTCAATCGAGTTTAGATATAAATAAAAAAAATCATAATATTAAAATACATATTAAGGATTAATCGAAAAGAATTCCAATGGGAAAAGCAATTCAGATCTGGGATCGTCTTCCTCCCCGTCTACGGAGTAACAATCCAATGATGCGAAGAATACCCACACAAATTGAAGGCTGAATTACCCCCCACCGTATTTCATCCTTTTTTAGCCCGTGGAGTCGCGCTACCGCCCGCTCGGTAGGGGGTGGCGGCCTAACTCTTGCATCAGAGTCACATTTTGATTTGATTTGAATATTCTTTATTTTTATTCTTATTTACGATGTATCCCTTATCCTTCCTCCTTTATTTTTTATTATTTTATTTTATTATTTTTATTTTTTTTCTTTCCAGAATAGAGTTGGCCCAGACCATAATTCCGATCCCGTCCAGACTTCCCTCGTGAACCCATTCTAACATGGACGTGTGACTAAAAAAAAAAAAAGGTATCCGGGGCTCCACGGAGCCCTAGCCGATCGATTCGGATCTCTCATGAACATTTGTGGGAAAACACCGGTCTATATTTTCACATACATACCTGCTATAGCATTAGAGGTACCTACATACAATGTAACTAGTACTTCGTATAGTAAGCTTCGGAGTAAACAAAGGTGACCCAGGGTTCAAGTGCGGAGAGCCGAGTTTGGGTCGGATGCCTCCCGCGGTAATTTAATATACGATGTGATGTGATACACTACGATACACGGTGATACACTCGCTGGGATGGGTCTTAAGGCTTGAGGACCATCATCTTGGCCTCCCGTGAATTTCACAAACCAAAAAAACGCAAACGCAAAAAATCCCAGTTCCTGCATTAGCGTCATGTCTGATCCCAGGAGGTGCCCATCGCTGCAAAGAAAATCATGTCCACTATAGAAGAATTTAATTTGGAAAGAAAAACCAGTGGATCTGCTACCAAGTACCTAATTTACGTGCAATATTGTACGCTATACAAAGTACCGAGTATGTATGTTTGTAGCCTGTAGCTTCGAGTTATACATAAGGCGTTATAACGTTGTAGACCTCGGTACAGAGTACTCCTGTACGGTGATCGGGCTTGCATAATCCATCTGCTTTAGGTAGTAGTCACAGTTCCTCCCTAAACATCCCGGTCTTTCTAAGTGTTCCCTCGTACCGGGGTGACCACCCCGTAGAGACCGGTGCTCTGGGTCAGACGATCGGGCGCAATCCCTCGGTACAATACATACGGCTATATGATTCGAGGATCGTCACGATTATGGAGAACAGTGATGTCTAGCCTATCTACAAAGGTACGTTGTATAATATTCCGTAGACTATTGACTCCTGAAGCAACTGAGTGTCAGGTATCTGTAACTGACAGTGACCAGGTTCCCCTTTCCGCTAGCACAATTTGATACTAGTGCAGGCGCATGGCAGCGGTCAGCCAAGACAAACTAAACATCAATAGTCGACAGATCCCCGTCGATCACTCAAGGATCTGCCGAGCTCTTTTCTTTATCTCTTTCTTTGGATGTGGTGCCCCCTCCTGGGCATATCTTATACCCCCCTGTTATCCGGCTTCATCCAGGCTCCAACCATATTCCAGGTGTGTGACACCATCTTGCCTTTTCCCGAAGCTCTGGTTGGACCCTGCTCGACAAGCGCTAAACGTCTTGGATTAAGTCGCTCGATGCACGCAAGTCACGAGGGTTGCTGCCCCAACTTTTGTCCACCCCCTTAACATCCACATGCACCTAAAGATGATCACTGCCCAGACCTCCCCCCCGGGAGACCGCTGCCCATAGCACTATGGTCTTTTTTTTGTCTCAACTTTGTTTCATCCCATGCTTAGTTTGGTAGTTAGACAGCTAGTTATAGTGTGCATTGTAACTACATAGTAACTAACTATGGAGTACTAGTTACAGTACTGTTTAGAATCATTGACAGCAAAACATTCGAGATATCTGGGCGACCAATCTTAATAAACTATGGAGTCGAGACTTCCCAAAACGCCTGACTTCTCACCGTGATAGGATCGCATATGGAACCCAAACTCTGACGTTGGCACATGGATAGTGACACCCGCAAAGGATAAGGCAACAATGAACCGGTCTAGCGGAACCTCTCCTCGAGCTGTAAGCTACAAGAGCACCCCTTGTCCCCAGTTTAGTGATCTACCTCCTTGACTGCTCTATTCGGTAGCATGATCTGACCCAAAAAGCCGCCAACGCTATAGTGATCCAAGGTTGATCACCCTCGGTGGGCCAGTCATATAGATCAAAAGACTGGGGTGGATTGATTGTTAATAAGGAGGGATCGATCCGGAGAAAAATCCATAGCAAAGACCTTGTTTGAGACTACTAACAGCCCCACGGACTAGGTAGATCATATGAGAGTACTCCATGCACAACGTGGCGCTTAGATTCCCCCAAACTTTGTATCGCGGTGTGCCATTGTTCTTCCTCTTTGGAAGTAATGCTGCGATGGACGTGATTGTGACGAAGTAAGAACTTAGGTTTCCTATTCAAGCTTCATGTGCATTAGGGCGCGTATCGGTGTCCGCACATCACATCCGATGAGACTTCCAATGGTTGCTTGACTCCTCCTTTTGGGCGATTGTGCTCACTTTTTTCTTGGCACATCATGCCCCACCAACCCACCGAGAAAATGGTCTCATGGTCCAAGGTGATGTCGAGAACAGTAGTACGGAGTACATGATGGGCAAAATCCGAGCAGCGTGGACACAGACCAATTTGATATCACTCCAATCTGGCCAAGAATCCCCGATCTCTTTTTTTTTTTTCTACTTCAAATGTAGTCATATAAGTACGGAGTACAAAGTACAATAAATCCCATTCTAATACTTTAGTACCCATTTAGGCTATTGCAGCTATGTTGCACACAGATCTACTAGTAGTTTGAAGTAAAAAATTCGGGGGATCTGCCATGACGACCCTTGGGTCGATCCGCAACGCATTTCCCGCACGGATCCCTCCGCCCCATCCGACTATTGATTGGATCTCATGCGAACCGTTACACCGGAACAAAATTACAATCTCAAATATCGGACCTTGCAACAACGAGAAGTGTACAATGAAAAGGAGAAAGAATGGAGCACAATTCCCCGGGAAATCTTGAGGATATGATCGACAATGTGATAGAAAAATTAAAAACCCCTCGGGTTTCAAAAACCTTGATAGATTGACGGTCAATTGGGGCCGAGGTCGGATCGTCTTCCTTCCATTGTGATATCAAACCCCTATCCATAGCAATGTATATCTTGGTTTTTTCTTGGCTAGTCAGGGGATTTTACGGACCCGGAGGATTTCGGCCAGAAACCAGAAGCCTGGTGGCTGAGCTGTGCAGATCTGTCAATGTGATAGATCTCCACGGCCGTCCTCGGGACTCTCTTGTGGCGCTGATAAAAGGTCTGTGGCGGTGCGCAACTATATCGAGCGCCCTGCATATGGATAACCTGGGAATTATGTATTTGTCACTTTCGTGGGGCCAGTCCTCGAACTCACAGGATAATCTGCGGAACTAGCTACAAAGGAACGGTCTGTAACATGATTGGACGCGCCCTTCAGCCCAGTGCAGCTCGGATCGGAGTTGGGGAAGCGCATGAGAACAGAATCTACTGTATGTGATGAGATTGCATTTGCCCCTCATCTGTCATCACACACCTTCATACAGGATACAACGTAATAGGTGTGGACGAGGAACCCCGCCAGATTGGAACAAAAGCGCTCTCCCACATCGCCTTCCTTGATTCAGTCAATTGTGATGATATTTAGGAGTTTGCATCCGAGCATCACCTTTCCCCAACCCAGACGCGGGATGCAACCTAGCCCCCTTGCATGCTATTCTCACCGGTTTAGTGGCCTTCCTCGACGTCATTGGAGAGAAGTTCTGTTCTCGCCCCAAACTCCCCAGTCAGGTAGGATGTGTCCATCCCCCAAACCACTTGGTCCACCAATAAAATTCGCATAATGCGTTTGTTCCAAAGTTGCCGGGAGAAAAAGTATCCATATCCTCGTGAGCATCTAACTATTTCCCCAAAAGGGCTGGCTGCAGCTGCAGTCGGAACGCCCAACCCCAATAAGAGCAGATCTAGCAATTTTTTTTCCCAAATCTGAAGTCATCCTCCTCGGGGATGCATTTCCGTGCCCACGGCCTGGTTCCACATTCACCCAGGGCTCAAGTGTGCATGAACGGTAGTTCGCGACCCGCCCTGCCTGAATGATTGGATCAGATGTGAGTAGCAGGTGCATTTGCATGCCCTGCCGATAAAATCCGGCTTTGAGCTGCAAGGATTGCGTGGCTGCATACCCACGAAAGGTGTGCGCAACGCACGCCATGGTGGTCTAGGGCGTCCAGTTACTGTGTCAACAGCTATACAGCTTGATCCTTGCCGGCTGAATCATCTAGAACAGCCACCATCCTTGTTATGCGAGGTGTCGGCTGTCATTAAACAAATCTGTATTTCGTACCGCAACAATAGCACCACCAATTCGCGTCCAAGGTTGGGATGAACTACATACCTGCTTCAAGGTAGCTACACATGGTGGGTTTGTATGTGAGACTCTGCATACGTACTTTCTATCTTGCATCTTGCACCTTGCTTGGCCCGATTACATCCCCACCCGGGGAACCACCTGAGCAACTTCAGGGCTTTGTACCTTTGCATCGTTTCAGGATATGCAGAGCTTAGTGCTTGTGGTCGGGGACGATCCAGCCCTATTCAGAAGGTCCATTGGGTATGAGAACAAATTACATAGCCCGAGGCAGCAGCAAAAAAGCTAGGTTCCCTCTCTACCTAGATACCAGGTACCCTTTTTCAGCACCACCGGCTATAGCCATCGCCTTCCAGGGTAATATGGATAAAAAGTGGAGATTTGCCAGTTTACAAGTCCTCTAGCACGGCTGACTTCCATGCCAACCTAGACAAACCAAAGGTTGATAGCAAACTCTAGAACGAATATGTATATATATATATGTACCAGTCTAATCTGTATGTAGTGCATGTTAATTCGAAGAAAAAACCCCATGAGATCTCTAACACGAGACCTTTAGGCTGTGTATCCAACTCCGAGAAACCCGTTACGCAGCTGCAAATGCAAGAGTATATCCCTGCCCATGGAACAGCGAATCGGCGAAACCGAGGCCGAGGTGGTTACGACCATCTATTGATACGCATCCCTGATCTCGATCTGCACCTGGCCATTAACAACCGCTTTGACCGAAATGCTGGTCAAATCTTCCACAATCCAATCCGCACCAGCTTGCTGGAGCTGGTACAGCGAGTGCGTCGTCTTCAACGCAATCACCTTGAACCCAGCAGCCTTACCAGCCTTGATACCAGAAGGTGCATCCTCGAGTACGACAATCGAAGTTGAATCTTCGATGCCAAGTTGCTTCCGGCCTAGCAGGTAGCAGCGTGGATCCGGCTTGCCGAGTGGCACGTCCATTGCTGTCACCAGGTTCTTGGGGTGTGGGAGGCCGAGCACTTCCAGCCAGCCATCGACTAGAGGGCGCGTACCTGATGTTACAACACCCCATCTTGCGCCGGAGGTCTCGAGGGCTGCGAGGAGGTCGCGGCCGCCGGGGATCTCGACGGCGTCGGAGCCATATTCTTTCGGGATGTGGCCTTCGATTTCATTGACATCTGTGAGGGGATGTTGTTAGTTTATATCCCATGCTTATGTTGGAAGATATCAGTCGCTTCTGGCGTCCGGTAGACTTACAGTCCCAGTTGGCCTTGGTCTGGTCGTATAGACGCATCACATCGATGCTGCGGCGGCCATGCGAGGTCGCGAGGATAGTCTTGGGGTCGACACCGAGTTCGTCACCAATCCTGAAGCGGAATTTGTATTAGTATTCTGCCCACGGAAATCATGTTGGGCTGCGTTTATGACTCACTTGTGCCAGTGCTTCACAATGGCTGTTCAATACCGGATGGTTAGTATTGGTTCCAATTAATCCTAGGACTCGAATTGGGATCGATTACCATCGGTTGAGTCCACAATTGTGCCATCGAAGTCAGAAAGAAGGCCATCGAATGTGTGTACCTGCGCAGGTGCGGAGAACGATCCTGTTGTTAAGGACATGGTGGGGGATGCGGGGAGAATGGAATGCACCGAGTCAATGAGTAGACAGCGAAGCTGATGGTGAGTAGAAGACAATAAGCAGTCTGTTGAGAATCTTCTTGAGGGTATCAACAATTAAGAAACAAGAACAAGAACTTCCAAATAAGATAATATAGGCTATGTATGGCGTTGTCAAACCTGGAATATCTTTCTTGCTTATTCCCGGTGTATGTACCTACCTAATTTGGTAACTGTTCCGCAAGCTTAGTCATGTGGAAAAATTCTCGGAGATCGGCCCAACTATTAATCCGCTTATCGGCTGGGAAATCTTGGCACCCAACTTTTTCTACTCCCGTTGCGGACAGACTTTGAGGATTTGGTGTGCACTTTTTTTGTGATTAACAAATACGTGCATTCAAAATGGTTACTAAGAGCGGTTTCGGTATGATACTATTCTTTGTCACTCGTTCACGCAGTCCTGGGGCGCACCTCTAACGGTCTACAGGCAAGACTTCCAAGCGGGTTCCCGTCCGCTTGAGGCACAAGATTGAAAAGTCTGCAGTTCAGAAGCAGAGAAAGCAAAAGAAGCTCGCAAAGAAGGTATTGCAGACAATATCTCCATAAAATTTCTGATCGAAGGTTCTGACGATTTTCTCTCCAGAACCCTGAATGGCGGTCAAAGCTTAAGAAGGACCCCGGCATTCCCAATCTCTTCCCCAACAAGGACAAGCTTCTCCATGACATTGAAGAGCGGAAGCGCATGAAGGCCGAGGAGCAACAGCGCATTCGGGAGGAGGCACGAGTCCGCAAGGCTGAAGGCCTACCCGCCAAGACTGGCACCGAGGCTGTCGACATTGACGAGAACGATATTATGGATGATGATATGGATGTCGAGGGCAGTGATTCAAACCCCATGGCTGCTCTTCTCGCCTCAGCACGCGCCCGTGCCGTGGAATACGATGATAACCAAAGTGACGACGAAGACATGGAGGAAGATGAAGACGATGATGATGAGATGGACGAGGACGATGAGGGCGGCGCAACTATTGACGAGTCTGCCCCACCATTAGTCAATTCAAAGTCGTACTCCAAGGAGAGCTCACGACGCCAATTCGACAAGGTGTTCAAGCAGGTCACCGACAACGCCGATGTTGTGTTATACGTGCTCGATGCCCGCGACCCCGAGGGTACCCGCTCCAAAGACATTGAGCGCGAGATCATGATGGCAGACGGTGGCAACAAGCGGTTGATTCTTATTCTGAACAAGATCGATCTGGTTCCACCCCCAGTGCTCAAGGGCTGGTTGCTTCACCTGCGCCGCTCCTTCCCCACTCTCCCCCTTAAGGCTTCCAGCGGCACCACTGCCAACGCACACAGCTTCGACCACAAGCAGTTGACGGTCAAGGGTACTTCGGATACACTCTTCCGTGCTCTTAAGTCTTACGCTAGCGCCAAGCAGTTGAAGCGAGCTATCTCTGTCGGTGTCATTGGATACCCCAACGTCGGCAAGTCGTCCGTCATCAACGCACTCACCGCACGTCTGAACAAGGGCTCAAGCAACGCATGTCCCACAGGCGCCGAGGCTGGCGTCACTACTAGCTTGCGCCAGGTGAAGCTGGACAGCAAGCTTAAGCTGATTGACTCTCCCGGAATCGTCTTCCCCAGCTCCAGTGACAAGTCTACCAAGAAGAACAAGAAGCAAGAAGACCAGGCTCGGCTGATTCTCCTCAACGCCGTTCCTCCCAAGCAGATCGAGGATCCCATCCCCGCAGTCAACCTCCTGATGAAGCGTCTATCCTCATCGGAGAACCTCCTCGCCAAGATGCTCGAGTTGTACGGCATCACCGCTCTCTTCCCCAGCAATGGCGACAAGACCACCGACTTCTTGGTCCAGGTGGCCCGCAAGCGTGGCCGTCTTGGAAAGCGCGGTGTCCCCAACCTCGAGAGCGCTGCCATGACCGTTATCAACGACTGGAGAGATGGCCGCATCCAAGGCTGGGCCAATGCGCCCGTACTGCCCGTTGTCTCGGCAGATGCCCCTGCCGGCGATATTAAGCCTGGCGTTGACACCACAAAGGTCGTCACCGAGTGGGCCAAGGAGTTCAGTATTGAGGGTCTCTGGGGCAACGGACAAGGTGATGATGAGGAGATGGCCGAGTAAGGGCTGCTCTTCTTGCTCGCGTTATGAACTCATTATCTCTTTTGATTCTATCTTTCTGGATACCAAAAAGTGGGCGTTTTATGTTGGCATTCCATCCTTCCCTAGGTTTGATCTCAATTTCAGTGGTATAAAAACATTAGTAAAAATGACTCTTTTCCAAATAAAACAAGCAAAATTGTAGATCGTACTGCATATTATTGTAGAAATGAATGCTGAAATAGAAATCATATCGAAGTAGAGTAGACATCACCGCCAAGCCCCCACCCACACTCGCGCATCGAGAAATCCAACGCGTTGGCGCGTCTTCCCTGCAACCCTCGAACGACGTCCCATCTCCAAAGCTCATAACCACAGCTGAAACCTGAATACAACCCTCAGGTCCTTTAGAGAAAGAAATACTCGGGCCTTGACTCGATTCAATATCCAAGGGGGGCCCGAATTGTCAACCCCCCGATCCCTTAATCCGTTCAACCAGCACGAAGGCACCTATCCGCCCCAAATCCACAAAAATGCCACCACGCAAATCCACCTCCTCGGCAACGCCTGCTGACCCTGATGACTCCCTGCTCCAGCAGTCGTCTCCAGCACCGCAGACAGACAAGCCCGTCTTTGCGACGGAGCAGCAGTTGAAGGCTCGGGCCGAGGCAGGCGCGAGTGTCGAGGTAAGACAAAGACAGAGGCATGATCAGGCATTGTATATTGCAGGACGATACCATATCAATGGATTCCTTCATATACAGCATGTGAAACAAGTGAACCAGGCCAGGCTAACGCTCTCCCCGGTAATGTGTAGGACTATCTCCTACCACGCTCGCTGACGATTCGTCTCGCCAAGTCGGTTCTCCCGCCGAATACAACAATCCAGAAAGACGCCGTGTTGGCTATGCAGAAGGCTGCTACGGTGTTTGTTTCTTATCTGTCTTCGCAGTATGTTTTACCCTCCGCCCGCTGCCTTCGGCTTTTGCATTCGAGTCCTCCAGTCCAAGATATGGGATGGTGAATCTCGATTTGTTCTACTCTATCCCTTAGTATGATACATCGAACTAACTTCGGTGAAACCTTAGCGCCAACGATGCAACCCTCAAACGCACCATTGCCCCATCAGACGTCTTCAACGCCCTCTCCGAGCTAGAGCTCGACTCTTTCCGCGGCCGTCTGGAACAGGAATTAGAGGCGTATACTGAAATCAAAGCCGGGAAACGCAAGCCGAAAAAGGTTGATGAGAATGGATCCACGCAGGATGCGTCAGGCGAGGGCGCGACTCAGGGCGATGGTGATGTTGAGATGCTTGATAATCCCGCGAAAAGGGTAAAGCGGGACGGAGAGGTGGAGGTAGCTGTTGGTCCGCCTGCTGGTGATGATGGAGACGAGACTCAGGAGGAAGACGTCGAAGAGGAAGAGGAAGAAGACGATGAGAGTGAGGCTGACGATGAGGAGGAGGAACATGCTCCGCGTGAGGATAACCTTGAACATGTGGAGGATCTGGACCGTGAGCCTGGTGCGAGGAGGGGGCCTTATGATCCTGATGCTGACGAGACGGACGAAGACGAAGATGGGCCTGGTAGTCAGCTGCGGGATGATCTTGGGTTGGGCTAATTGTCTAGGCCATGTCAAAGTGATTTATAGGTAGATGAGCCAAAGAGGATTCATGCTGGATGGCATTAGGGGAGGTTGACTGGCAAAAGAAAAGGATGTTTCTGCTGTACTATACACATAATGACGAATGGATTTTATGCTGCGCTCTGTTGATATATACTTGGACATAGCGAAGACGGTAGGTAAACGCAGATGAAGGGCCAAATTATAGTATATCAATCCTCGACATATAATATAGTTGCGCAACTAGGGATTCGAATAAATAATATATATCAAGCCTCCAATGCCCTACAACAAAAATCACAGGAATAAGAAAGAGAGAGAAAATTATAACCCGGAGAACAAGGAAATAAGTATTAAACGGGACAGCACATAACAAATCGTATGAGGCGGGATTAAAGTCTGGAATATCTTATTTAGATAATCCAAAGATGAACACCCATGCAGATTGACATGAGTGAAAATAAGAATAGAATAAGAATTGAAAGCAAGGAAGCCCCATCACACTGAAACAAGCCAGCTTCTTTCCCGACAAACGCCTGAGCCAACCCATGCGAGAAACCGTGGTCTATCAATGGTATCTTTCGAAAAGAGGACAGCAACAATCATCAACCCAAAGCAAACGCAGGCGATGCAAGTAAGAATACAGTCCACGAAACAGGAAGTATGTAAACATAGGTGAAGAAATAGAAATCCCAGAAGGAGATAGGGGGAGCAGTGAAAGTAACACTGGAAAGAGCAATGAAAAGAAGAACACCAAAGGACGCCAATTGGGAACCATGCATCATGTCATGAATTTGCAGTCAACATAGAATAGAATATCAATACCATGACCGGAACATAAAAGAGTCAGGAGGAAGCCACCGGCCGAGGAAGAGACTCTGTGTTAAGCATGCCGTCTGCTTTCTCGGATTGCTCTGTTTTGGGCAGAGGACCATTGTTCCTCGAGGCGCCCGCTGGGACCGGTTGCATAGGTTTGCCGTCGGCCTTTGTACCGAACTTGCCAGCGGATTGAGAGGTTTTCGTAACACGACTGAACGAGGTGATTTTCTTGACCGGGGCGGCGGGCACGGCACGTTTTTTCGAGGCAGTGGTTGTTGCAGCCTTCTTGGGACGGGGATTGGGGGCGGGCTTCGTGATGAACTTGGAGGTAGGCTTGCGGGCAGTAGGCTTTTCTTTCTTGATAATGTCTTGGATGGATCGGCCATTGCTTGCCGGGTTCTCCAGCTTGATTTTCGTAACTTTGGTAGCCGGCTTCTTCGTTGGCTTCTCGTCGTGGCTGGAAGAAGGTGTGGCGAGACCAGTATCTGCACGAGGTCTCTTTTTGGGCGTGACGACGACGGAAACGTCGTTGGAATTGAACCCGTGGGAAATGGGCTCGGGCGAGGATTCGTACGCGCACGGAGTAATGTCCTCCGACTCCCACGGTTTCAGGTTCACCTGGCGTGCAACTTCATCGCATGACCCCTCGACAATCAAGTCGAAACAGTTATCGAATTCTTTGCCGCTTGGTGGTTCATTGTTGATGAACATTGTGACACCATCCTTGCGACTACGGATCATTGTGCACAGGCTCTTGACGAGTCGACGGACCCCGGGGATCTTCAAGCTGGTGCCGGCGACAATCAGGACGCGAGGGCGGGATTTGATATCGGCGTTCATCACGGAGGTGATTGCCTCTTCGTCGGGGTTGTGTTCATTGTAGAGGACGATGCGCGGGCGCATGCGGCCAATTCCGTGACTCCGTTGACCACTGGCTTGGCGAACTTCGTCGTGCTCAACACAATCGTCGCAAGCGGGCGGGTCGGCTTTGGTGAAGATATCGGGGTTGAAGTCGGCGAGGTAGCGACACTTCTGGCATACCATTTTCTCAATACTGCCGTGCAGTTGAATAGTGACCGGCCAACTACCCTTGACATTAAGCGGGACCTCAGTTGCCAGTGGCCCCATAGAGGTCTCAATGCCATCGATATTTTGGGTGTAGAGTCGCTTCAGGCGAGACTCGATACCTAACCGGGCGAGCATTTGGTGGAAGGCGGTGGGTTTGATATTGGCAACTTCTTCCGACAGCGACCGGACCATTTCGTGGAAGGGGGCAGTCAATGCGTCATCTTGATAGACAGCTGCATCAAAGAGAAGCTTGCCGGAAGCTTTCAAGTTATGTTTTTTCTGCAATGATTTGAAGAGACCATCTGTGGAGCGGAAATCCGGAACTATGTGGAGAGTTAAGAGTTGTGTTCGAATATGGCAGAATCCAAAAGCAGAAACTTACTACCCGCAGCCGTGGAAATGCCAGCGCCGGCGATGACGACAATGTCTTTTTGATGACGCAGAGTTTGAACAAGCAAATAGTGTTGATCATTTTGTTCATAGAGAGACCTGGATAGGTCGAGATATTGAGTAGTCCGTTCCTTTGGTAAGGGGTTCCGTCTCCTCTTTGCGGGACGGGCTTGGCGTGCAGAACCCTCAGCAGACTCAGCGCCCTCTTGGGATGAAGGCGTTGGGTATCGCTCTGCAGGCTCTGGTGATGACTGCGCTGCTAATGTTGGTGATGGAGGCACGGAGCTCAACTCCGAATCAGATGAAAAATCTAAATTGTAATCACCCATGGTTGTGTGGGGAGTTGCGAATGGGCTGGAAGGTGTAACAACGTAGGAGAATGTTCACCCCCAGGGGGAATCGGGGCGAAAAGGACCAGGTGATATTTCCTAATTGCTCACAGACTGTAGAAAACCCTCGAAAAGAGAAATCATATGTGTCTGGGGAAATAAAGATCAATAAAGATCAATGACGTGTAAGACCTTGAGATAGGTAGAAGAAAGGGTAGAAAAGAGTAGGAGTAGTTGTAGGTAGAAAGTTGTAGCGCTGGAGAAGTTGACGATGAGGTCAGCGATGGAGGGGGGGAAGGGCATTAATGAAACTCGTGCACTTCAGGGCTCTATGGGCCGGAGAAAAAAAAGAATTAAAAAAAAGGGCCCGCAGGAAAAACAGCTTTTGTTTTGGCTGAAGGTATAGGATTTTCGTTAAAGAATGTTGAAGTAAATTGACTTGACCGAACCGAATGATCAGGAAAGGGTGGGACTCGATGTTTTGATGCGAACGGTTGTGGGTTTTGAGATTGCTACGCATATACTTCGGAATAAAGAGGGAAATTGGTCCAGTAATAGCTTCTTTGATGCTCTTGAAACCCCCATTGATGGTACTTTGTAGGGGGGTTTGATAATAGTCCAATGCCCTTTCATACCCTAATAAGGGACATCTTAATACTTCCTATTGTACTTGTCGTATTGTTCTTATATTCCCCCCCACCTATTTTGCTTTCTATTTTTCCTTTGAGGGTCTTTTTTGTGCTATTTGGCTATTTTGCTATTTTCCATGTTTTGACAGTTCAAGGGCTTAGCTTGTGATTCGCTCTGGTAGATAATGGGTCGCCTAATATTGTTCTGATTGGCCAGCTGTCGTTGGCCGGGCTACCCATCACCTGATCCGTCCATGGATATCACGAGTCCTGACTAAGCAAAATCATTGGGAAATCCACTGGTCCCTGGAGGTCCAGGCGCTGACGGCATAGGAACATCTGGATTTGGTCCATGGTCCCCCTCATATTGAAGTCTGGAATTCCTGCATTGACTGTGATATCGCTGGTGGTGTTTGTGACATCTCCTCGAACATTAGCCGTCGATCTCGGGGATCCCCTCTCCCCCCTCTCTTGACCAAATAATAATAAAGCCATCTGATATTCAATGGTCCCGAGGAACTCTATGAAGCGATGCTGCTGTAGTGATTCCCGGATTATCAAACATACTTGACAAGTCGTCCGACAAATATTATGCCCTTGATCATGGAGGACGGTATCAATGTGGATGATCTCTTTGGAGAACCCAACTCCTTGGAGCTAGGCTTGCCCGCCGCCTCCCCAATCAAAGGTCTAGCACAATGCCTAGATGAAATGCGTCTATTAGGGTGCTGCCAGTAAGCTTGGAAGAATGCCCTATATCCCTATTCTAAGACTAATAACTTTTTAGGAAAATCGCCTGGTCTCGGATGGGATGTATTGCATCTATTTCCCCAGACGGACTCCGGGTTATTGTCCGCCATCTCCAGTGCCGTCCATCAGATGGTAAATGGGTGCTCGGGGAAGAGTCATCTTTGGCTCCAGTATTGGAGGCTCATAATGGCAATCAACTGGCCCATCTATCATGGAATGAGACCGGTTCAGAGCTTGCCGTTGTCGACTGTTCTGGTCGCATATCAATATATTCCATTTCCATTGCATTGAACAGCATCACAGGCTTGCGTCAGGCCTCATTTGACTCCGGCGACGATGGAAGCCAAGTCGTTGGAATGATGTGGTTGAACTCCCAGCGTTACGTACGTTGCCCCTACCCATTATCCATCAAGATATACCCAGATAGAAGTGAAATGACCCTAACATGGTAATATAGGTGCACGCATTCCACCAAGCAGCCAAGGTGAATGGTCGATGGGCATACTCGCCCTTCCGTCGACGCCCCGTCGGGCCATTTCACCCAGCCAATAAAGGCGCATTGATATGTGTGACCAGAGCCGGCCAGATCAAGCTGATATATCAAAACCCTGACAGCAAATGGGCCGAGCTGCCAGCTGAACTGAAGAACACAGGGTACTCGGACAGACTATTAACACATGCATCCATGACCGCAACACAAGGTATTGCTGTTCAGTCAAAGCTCCATTTCCCGCCATCACTGACGTATTAAAACAGCTGGGATCCTTCTCTCCACCTATTCTGCATGCCAGAAAATGTGTCTTTATAGAGTACACATCAGCTGGAACCCGCCACAATGGGAGCCGGCACAGGGGAAACCGCCCGGCCAATTCCCTATTCCCACCTTCCGTTTAATCCATTGTAAGGTCGACATGCCCAGCAACATATTGAACGTCAACCGGGGGCCCGACCACTCCGATCAGTCTTTGCCGTTTTTGAACTCGGTATACTCGTTGACACGACTAGAGATCATGCCGGGACAGTTTGATAGCCCCGCGGGGTCCACTGCCAATCCTTGGATCCTGGCTGTCTTGTCGAAGCCCCTCCATGCCATACATGACTATCCAGATCAGCAAGGTCCGCCGAGTGTGATTGTCAGGTGGCATTTGGAATCTGCACCGCAGATCCTCCATCCCAAGTTTGACGAAGTGACGTCAAAAAAGAGCAACGCTCAAGGAAAGGTGCGAATTCCTCTGGGTTTGACTTTCGTGTGGAATCGTGACTGACCGATCCTCAGCCCAAAATGGAACTGCGCAGGTTGGAGGACGTATATTGCGACAAGTATATCGTCTCGGTCGATCTAGTAGAGCATGGGACAGTTTTGGCTGTCAGCCACGACGACAGCTCAATAACATGCTACGACACACGGACAATGGCCGTGTTGAACGGCCTTAACGACTCAACCACAGTGACCTGTCTGCCCCAGGCTGGGTTCCAGTACCCACTCGAAACATCAGGTATGTCCGGGAATGAGGCTTTTAGATGCGTGGTTAGAGCTGACATGGCCAGGTCTTCATATTGCTTTCTCTCCTAACGCTTGCGTTGCCGTTACGCTGGATATTGACGGACATATGCAATTGAGAGTGATGGAGCATTCGTTCGGATCCACAGAGGGTCTCTATGACGAGAGTATGTGTTTTCCGGATCGCTTATCAGGTCATCTGCATGGAATAACAATACTGACCAAGTCATGTAGACAATTTCTCCGCGGCTATCGCGGCCTTGACATTGGCATTCAGTCGAGGCTGTGGGGTTGATTTCAATACAGATGACATACTCATGGTTGCTCTCGGGCAGCTATCACCGGGTGAGTGCTCTGAAGATCTTCGCATTGATATCATCGAGACGCTGACAACCTCCAAAGAGGCTCAAACCACATTCATCAGCGAGGTGTATCGCGCATTGCCGGTTAATTGCAATTTCACAGCCGAACAGGACAAACTCATGAGCCATCCTTACATACCTCGTTGTCTCAGTTTACAGGCCGGACTGGGCTTCAAAGGGAGACTCAAGCGCCGCAACCTCTCATCGGCTGTGCCGTGGGCAAGCCTTCAACTCAGACATGCCTCGGTTCTATTTGCATATTTCTTCCAATATAATAAAGGGGGACAGACTGAATCGCATGATCCAGGTGAGTTCAAAGAAAGCAAACTCGATTGTCGTGATCCGCTGCTAATTGAAACAAAAGATGTTCTCCGCATGGTATTGGGCAACACCAAATGGACATTAGACTTCTCTCACTTTCTTCTAAACGAAATCTTCGACATGGCCGATGAATTCGAAGATGTCTACCATGACCCAGAAGCATTCACACAGAAATGTAAGGAACCTCCCTATAACAAACTCCAGCTTCAAGCTCCCCAATCTCACTATTTGCACAGTGAAAAACTCCTCCTCCCTCCCCCTTTTAATCCTCCTCTCAAGCATGTCGCGCGCCTTCCTCCGCTTCATCTGTCGAGGCCTCCGCGGCGTGAATGCCGGCTTCGCAACCGCAAACCCCGCTTCCCTCGTAGGTGACTCCCGAATCTACTACACAGAGATCTGCCAAACACTAGAATCATCACCGGTACGGATCGATGTGTACGAGAAGTTCCTGGCAGGAGTCGACTCAGCCGTGAAGCACGCCTACCAAGGCGCTGGCTTTGGCGACGCTGAAAGACCCGGCCCGGAAAAGGAACTGCTGGTTAATGCGCGCATCCCGCCGGTCCTCACCACAGCCGTGGCAACCCTCCTCCGGCAGACAGTCCCCGCGCTCAAATCCGAAATCAATCGCAGGGCGATCTACCTCGGGGACTATAGCTGGCTTGGTTTTGGGAATGATCGACGCACGGCGTTGTACCGTAAACAGCGTGAGGTCGATATCGTCAAGAAGTGTCCGCTGCGCCCGCCGCTACCGTTGGGGAATGATGGTCGCGTGGCGCCGCTAAAGAAGCGCAGGTGTGCGCGCTGCTGTGAGGTCTCTGGTGATACAAATCTGCCCCGGTCGCTTCTGTCTTTCAAGATGATTGCTAAGCTGGGGCTGTTGCGGTCTTGTCTTTGCGGGGGGATGTGGGTTCTTGAGACGGATACTGGGGATCTTGGGGCTAGGACTGCGAATACGAATGGCAGTAGCAACAGGGTTAGCCAGGCTTAGGACATTAGTCAATGCTGAAATTGGATACTATAGCTCGCATTCTGGCTTTGACTCCAGGTGATGTGGGGGTTGGTTCATCTATTACTACTTTGAGGGTACGTTGGTTCTTTTAATCTTACGATGTCTTGCATCTAGATTTGTTTGGTGACTATAGCAAGATATTCTTAGTCGGCCATTATTTTTGCTGTGTATTTGAGTCATGTAGACTAAAATTGTAGACTACTCAAAAATATGTATACTGTAGAGATATATATCATCGAGTCCTGGCAGACTATACATATCCATGTGATATCCTCACTAGTCGTACATGAAAGCAAGAGCAAGGAAACTTGGAGAATGTCTAAAATCATGTCATGTCAAGAGTCGATTTGCATCCTATTTAGATACATAATCAAATTCCATTTTTTGGATGTAAAAAAAAGAGAAAACCGACCCCTACACAAGCATTCGGATCCACAGTCACGTCCTGCTCATGTCCAAGGCCAGCAACGTCTTCCCACAAAACTCCATATCCGAACAAGTTCTGCGTTTAAGCCTGCAATAAATAAGCCGTCAGTATTATGTTCCGCCGATTCGTCTCGTTTGATGGGCGAGGGTTGTGGTGGAGAGGGCAAAGATGAACATCCATGAACCCTCATTCCATCTTTTTCCTGCCAAGGATTGTCGGAGGGTATCATACCTTAACGGCGTACTTCCGCTGGGGGAAGTGGATGGCACGCTTGCGGAGCTTGTCGATGGTCTGGGTACGCTCGTGCTTGGTGAGACGGCGGCGGATCTCACGGGTGAGCTTGGGGCGGAGGTCGAGCGGGAGGTACTTCTTGTTCTTGTAGAACAGACGCAGCTGAGCGCGCTGGTTGGCGTTGATAACGGTGAGAACACGAGCGATCGACTTGCGAACCTCGCCGCTAAAAAAAAAATCCCAGTCAGCATCAAATCTCGAATATCGATGATCCCCAGTATCGTGCGCTTTGTGCCAGATCGTATAATCCGTCTCTTCCTCATCGATCGCTTTGTTGAATGCTGGCGTAGTCCTCCTCTTGTATGTTGTCTTTCCCGGGTTCGATCATTCCCATCCCGCAAATCTTCAAATTCCATCCGCACAAAAAATCAAATATCGGGGGTGTCGAATACGCACATTCTCTGAGTCTTGGAGGAAGCGCCGGAAGAGATCTTCTGAACGCGGAGCTGGTTAAGCTCCAACTTCAACTCCTCGAGCTGTGTGGCGAGCTCATCCTTGTTCTTGCCCCAGAGCTGACCAGCCTTGACCTTGGACGACTGCAAAAAAAAGAGCGATTCATCAGCATTTTGATATCAGAGCCTTTGCACAGCGCGACATACCATGGTGGCGTTGAATTGTGTGGGTTGTCGACGTTGAGAATTGAAGATGTCCGAGGGTCAATTTGCGACTGGTTGTGGGACTAGGGCTAAGCGAATTTGTGACTTTAGCGGGTGCACGTGATTATGGTGGCACTCAATGCCTGAATTTGATGCCTGAAGTTTCTGGCTGGTTGGTGCCTGGGCCCTGGGGCATAACACTGCTGTATTCGGTTAGCACCTTTTACCCCGTCATGGGCTGGGGCACTTACGTAGACAAGCAGGCAGCACCTCGGCCCTTGCACTGGTTGACTTGGTGGTCTGAGAAGAACCCCTAAACAGATCAGACTTCTCTAGGGACTTAACATCCACATTCCATATATTTCTTGCCTGCCATGGCATCCTCAACTAGTTCCGGCTGGACACAACTCCGGCAACAAGCACGGTCGCTTGAAACCCAGGTACCGACCATTATCTCACCAAGATTTCTATACCAATGTTAGCTGACGCACCGATAGACCGAGAACCTTTTCCACACTTATTCACAATTTGCCTCGATTAGCAAACCTCCACAATCACCTACCGAGGAAGAGCTGCGGCTTGAATCACAATTGAAAGACCTTCTCGAAAGAGTACGTCCATCCACCAACATCCAACAGAAAAAAAAGGCACCGACAGCTAATTGATTTCCGTACAGCGCGAGTCTGTCATCGCCCAATTATCCCGTCTCCTCGACTCCGAAGCTACCCTCACCTCCTCCGCCCTAAAACAGAACAATGTCTCCCGCCACCGCGAAGTACTGCAAGACCACCGCCGCGAGCTCCAACGTCTGACCGCAGCCATTTCTGAATCGCGCGACCGCGCAAACCTACTCTCCAATGTCCGTTCAGATATCAGCTCCTATCGCGCATCCAACCCCGCTGCTGCCGAGGCCGAGTACATGCTTGAAGAGCGAGGCCGAGTTGAGAACAGCCATAGCATGATGGACGGCGTGCTAAGCCAGGCGTATGCCATCAATGCAAACTTCGGTGTGCAAAGCGAGACGATTGCTAACATTAATCGTCGCATTGTTGGTGCTGCTGGCAATGTCCCTGGCATGAACTATCTCATCGGCAAGATTGGGAACAAGAAGAGGCGGGATGCTATTATCCTCGGGTGCTTCATTGGGTTCTGCTTTTTGATGCTGCTGTTCTTCCGATAAAGTATGTATGCGAAGGTCTGGCGGCAGGTCAGTTATACCGCCGCTATGACTTATTGCTCTTATGCCGATTGCTGTTCTCCAGCGAGTGGATTTCTCTTGTCGAAGGCGTTCGGGTTTGGGCATGTTTCGAGCCCCCCTTGATGGGGGATGCGACAGAATCGATGATAATTCTCGCGAAAGGGTTTTGAAGGCGCCTATTTGTTATACTTTCTATTATACAGATTCTCTATTGTATGTACAAATTCAACCGAGAGCGGAATAAAACCACATCCAAGGCTCCAGTTCAGGTAATCCTTATCACCCGCGGCCTCAATCAATACTTGCGAGACGGGTCCTGCGCCCGGAGAACAGTCTTCTTCTCCTCAATAAGCTTCCGCAAACCGGCATTAAGTCCCTCCAACTCAGACTTATCAGCCGGTCCACTCCCCGCCCAGCGAATGCGACACTCGGAATCAACCAGGTAGACATAACCGACCTTGGAATTCATCATGCCAATGGTCTCCTTGAGTGCCTGATCGAAGCCCTTCTGCACAAGGAAGTAGCGTGAATGCTGCTCCTTGGGCAGTTTCTGGCGCATCCGCCACATGAATGTCTTTACTAGAAACGCTTTCAACCGGTTCTCCTCGAGATTGATATCAATCCTCTGCACCAGTCTTCCGCCGCTGGCCATCGCCTCCACAAGTCCCGGATTCTGCTCCTTCCCCGTAAACGTCACAACTTGGCTCTCGGCCCACAGGCTTGAGAACAAGTTTACGACGGAGATGCTGCCGCGCAGCTGGGTCGTCGTGTTCTGGGGGTCTTTGGGGGCCGCTAGCGTTACGCCGTGCATGTTGGGGAAGTAGAGGGCTCTGTCTGCTTTGAAGAGCCGTGGGTTTGAGACAAAGGTTTTGCCCTCCGCGAAGCGAAGATTGGACCATTCGCGGAAATAAGGCTTGGCGACTTGTTTTGTCCTATGGGTTGCCATTGTTTATTAGAACTGTTTTTACCATCTTTGGGCTCTACCCCGGGGTGTGAGGGGAAGAGGAAGAGGCAAGATCGTACAATTCCTTGCGCCGCTTGATGTGTCGGTCATAGTTGGTGAAGTCGTCACGCCGCTGGCGCATCGACCGCGAGTCAATACCTGTGTTCTGTCCTTCTAATGGTGCTTGCGGGCTACCTATGGGACGGTCCAGGCTTGGAGGGACGAAGTCTGCGTCGCCGGGCTGGGGTCCATCCCGGGGTTGGTTCTGTTTGAATTCGATGGCAGTCGATAGGCGGTGTGCCTCGTTTCTTATGTTTCGTTTCACAGGCGCAGCCTCTTTTGTGTCGATAGGTTTCTCAGACTTGCTGGAATATTGGCGCAGAGAAAAGGGTTTGGTCCGTAGCTGCGAGAGAGTTGCTGGGTTGCGGAATTGGCAGCTTAGACAGCGGCCGGTCGGTAGGAGGGGGAGGTCGGCCAACAAGGCGGGGAGGGTAGATTTCCACATATTGGCTGACGGTCTATCAGTCAACGGACTGTGTGTAGGGTGGTGGATTATGAGGTTATTTTGAACTTGTTCGCGCATTTGATCTTCCATGGAAACCGAAGGTCACATGACACGATATTTTCACTTTTGGGAATAATTGTCGCTGCTTGTTCTATCCTTATTGGGAGCAATATAGAGCAGAATATATGTTATGGAATGACGATGTATAAATGGAGTATGTAAATACTTAGGTATTTTGCAATCCTCAAATTTGGATTAGATATTCCTGGCTATAACTAGGTCACCTATTGAGTGAATAAACTCCCACTTTGGATTGGATCACATGATTTGGCGCTCATTTCGCGCCGGTCAATCGCGTTTGGCGTCCACGGCTCCTCCAAATTGGCCCAAGGAAGTTTTCGGACCACTACCATTTTTTTCTCTGAATAAAAGGATTATACGAGTCATCCATGGATGTCCCACAGTGACTCCAGGCACCTATATAATGAACCATCCCTCGCCCAGGCACCTCCCTCTCCATTGGAAACCGGACTAGCCTACCTAGGTACCATGAAGGACCTATTACTGACTAAAAAGAGCTTTTTTGCGACTCTTGACCGGCTGGATATTTCAGATGATCAAGATGAAGATGATGAGAGCTGGGGGAGTCTCTTAACTTTTGCAGACAAAGAACTTGACAACCCCAATCTAAAGAAAGTCGCTCTTTCCTCGGAGCGCATCCCACTTTCTCGAGCAAATTCGGACCCTATGTCTTCGTGTGACATCCAAAGCAAGAGAGGCAGCCCAGTCACTGTGTCCAAACCTGCTCCTACAAACCGCCCTCGGACGACTGGAACTATGCCAACCATCAAGAGCGGAGGGCCTCCTCAAAAGAAAAGAAAGACCAATAATGCTAAGATAATCCCAGATGACCAGCAGATCTTTAAGGGATTGATTTTCTGTAGGTATTCTTAGATTTCTCGCAGCCTACTCTTACTGAACTCTCAATTCCAGTCTTCTTCCCAAACAACGATATATCTCCATTCCGACGACTGCGCATTCAACGAGCGCAAGATTATGGTGCACGATGGAGTCGAAATTGGGCGACCGATGTCACTCATGTGATTATGGACAAAGGCTTACTATCAAGCGATCTCCTTGGTTACCTCAAACTTGAAAATTTGCCGGTCAGTTCATTCGTGAGATATTCAGACTTCAGCATTAACTGTTGCAGACGAGTGTTGCTCTTGTCAATGAATCCTACCCATCCGAATGTATCCAGTTTCGTTCTGTTCTGGATACCTCGCACCTCCGCTTTCATGTCAATGGAACCCCAACGACCGCCGAGAAGGAGAAGTCTCCAGTCGCCGAACCGCCTCTCCCTGATTCTCTTCCATTGAAGCCATCGCGGCGGGAGAAGAACCAGTCCCTAGAACGTTATTTATCTCCGGTCGAGGAACTGACGCCAAATCCCTTGCCAAAAGATTTCCCAGAAACAGTACCTGAAAGTGTGCCCGATGCCGCGATCTCCGAACCAGTCTATGAAACTCCAACCGAAGAAGCGTGTAAAAGAGGAAACTGGGAGCGGGATGCACTGGATGATATAATAGATGAGGCTAAAGCCACAAGTCACCTGGTAAAACATCTTCTTTGTCAGTGAAAGCCCACACCACTAATATTTACAACTAGCCTCTGGACCAAATTGAATTTCCGATTGACGAATCTGCTGTTGATGTCTCCGATATTGGAACCTCGAGCTCAGAGGAGGGCTCAGAGTCAAGTTGGAAGACACGGAAAGCTCCCGCTGGAGAAGGCAAAGGCAAAGACAAGTCTGACTGGATCAAAGGTTTCGCCTGTATGCAGAAATTTGATCCGGACACGAAACTTGACAACCCGAACAGCAGAACCATCGAGGTACTACAGCAAATGCTGGAATACTATACCCAAACTGCAGACCAGTGGCGGGTTATGGCCTACCGTAAAGCCATCAACGCTTTGCGAAAGCAACCGTACAAGATTGCTACACGAGCACAGGCTCGGGCCATCCCTGGTATTGGGGAGCGGTTGGCTGATAAAATCGAAGAAATTGTGTTGACTAACCGCCTTCGTCGTCTCGAAAATGCCAACCATACCTCAGAAGACTTGATAATCAAAGAATTTCTCGGTGTCTATGGTGCTGGCCTTTTCCAGGCCTCCAAGTGGGTCGCGCAGGGCTATAGATCTCTAAAGGAGTTATTGGAAAGGGCTCCATTGACTAAGCAGCAACGTATTGGGGTGGAACATCACAGCGACTTCGCGCAACGAATCCCCCGCAAGGAGGTCGAAGCCCATGGAGCGATTGTGCGAAAGGCGGTGCAGGCCGTGGACAGGGATATGCAGGTGATCATCGGGGGCTCTTACCGCCGCGGGGCACTCACCTGCGGGGACGTGGACTGCCTGATTACCAAACCTGGTGCCACGCTGGAGCAAATTCGCACCATGATGCTCGGTCTTGTTGTCCCCAGATTGTTCAATAGTGGCTTTCTGCAGGCCAGCCTTGCCATCTCGTCGCATCAGGATGGATCTAAGTGGTACGGCGCATCAGCTCTACCTGGCACCACCTTGTGGCGTCGGATTGATTTGCTGTTCGTTCCGGATGCGGAGATCGGGGCGGCGTTGATATACTTCACGGGGAACGATATATTCAACCGCAGTATGAGATTGCTGGCACGCAAGAAAGGCATGTGCTTGAATCAAAAAGGTCTATATGCGGATGTTATTCGGAACCAGCAGGTGAAACTGAATGGGGGGCGGCTGGTTGAGGGCCGGGATGAGCGTCGGATCTTTGCTGTGTTGGGTGTGCCCTGGCGACCTCCCGAGCACCGGATCTGTTGATGCACATGGAGGATGAGGTGCGGTGATAACAATATTCTTAGTGTTTTAGTACTGACTACATACACCATGGGGTAATTGAGGTTTTCGGCCCCCGGGAAGCACCGAAATATAGGCGCAGGAATGTCGCTATCTTTGTATTGACGGATTTTCTACGTGTAGGGATATTATGTATGCTAATTATTTGTATTGCTATGTATCAAGTAGATACATATTACCAGTGCCTAAAAAAAAGAAAAAGAAAAAGAAATGACACAGCTTGCATAACTGCCCCATACATAGAGTTTCCATACAGAAGGTGAGAGAGAGAGATTCAGAGAGAGAGGGAGAGGCAGTCACAGTGGCACAAAGTGACTAAGAATTCCTCTCCCTCCAGTACTCGCCTTTCCTCTTCTTCAACCCCATCCCATAACAACTCATCCTTTTCCTCGTTTCATATCCAAGTTGATATTGAGGCATTCTTCTTCTTTCATCACCGCCTTTCCCCTACCGCCTTGAAGACATCACCGCCTTTCGTGCGGTGAAGCCTCCATCGCGTGTTCCTCCCCTTGCGATTCCCAGACCGCCCTCTACTGCCCTGGGTTTTGCCCGCACATCGTCGATTCAATCAGCTTGAGATTTGTTTTTTTTTGTTCCGTTTCGAGTCTCTTCTGAGGCTATTGCTTCCATCTGAGGTTCACAGCCTGGGCCCCCCAGTCCCCAGTGACTGTGTGCGTGATTTTCTCTCCCACATCCCACATTCCACGTTTGCTAATCCAAGTCCACAGACGTATCAGTTTGGTGGGACACACCCCATTCTGAACGAGCGACACCTTGATTGCTCTAGTTGACTATTAACTGTCACTGGACCCCTAATTGACACGTGGAACCCTCTCAAAAACACGTCCGCAGCCACCCCCACAATGGGTCGCAAACCCAACCAACTCATCCTCGAGTTCTTCCACCGGGGTCCCAAGCTGGAAGACGCGAGCAATCGCTATCAACATACGTGCAAAGCCTGCGGCGAAGTATTCCCTAAGGGTCGCATTGATAGCCTTACCAACCATCTGGTAAAAAAATGTCAGGCGATCCCCCTACGCGACCGCCAACGCGTGTTGTTGCGACTCCACGAACTCCCCGACTTGACCGACGGTGATTCGAATAAGGATTCCCCTTCTGGGAGCAAAGGCAAGTCTGCCGATGGTGGATTTCCCAACCGACAGAATTTCGATGGTCTCAACGTGTTGGCCGAAGCCTCGCGACAGGTGGGCGCCTCGGACGTGACCAAGCGTGGACCTGGATACACTCAGTCTGTGACAGCTGGAGGTAAGACCGTGATTGTTGACCCTGCGCTTGAAGCGGAGGGATTCCAGGGACACTCGCAAGGGCCTGACTCCAAGATGGAGGGTACAGCAAATGTCGAAGGTATGTTTTCCTTTTGTTCACTGCTGTACACCTTCCACCACTAACAATTTGCAGGAACTCCGCAGTCATCTAACGCTCCTAGTATTCCTGCCCTCCCGAGCCACACTCCGGGCGAGCATCATGCATCCATGTCTCCTCCTCTTGGCGATGCGTCCATGTCGCCCGAATCTACCTCTAATGCGCGACAGTCACAACTGTCGATGATTGCGGCCTCCGCCAACGAGATGGTCCCTCAAGGAATGTCCATTGACAGTGACAATCTTAGTTCTGATATGAAGCTGGGCCAATGGAATCAGCAGCTGTCCACACATGAGCAACTTCTTTTCGACAGCTTGCAAGAACATGATCCCTCGTTGACTGCTGCCACCCAGCGTGCGGCATCTTATCCCCGCCCTATTGCGATGAACCCAAATACCCAGGCAAAAGGGTTTGTGAACGAGTTTGGTAACTCAACCAAGCCTATGAAGCCCAAGGTGCGGGGACGTTTCACTGCAGAACGACGCCGTGAAGTTCAAGACGTGCGGAAGAAGGGCGCATGCCTTCGTTGCCGAATGCTAAAGAAACCTGTATGTATTCTTGAATATGGGGATGTGTGGAATAAGTGCTCCTTACTAACGAATGTTGATAGTGCTCTGGCGATACCCCTTGCACAACTTGCGCTAGCGTGGAGAGTGCTCGTTTATGGAAGCACCCGTGCCTGCGCACCCGCCTTTCCGATGAGTTTGAGCTCTACAATGCCAGTATGTTGTTTGTATTTTGCTCCTTTCGAAGATATACTGACTCGGGGCTCTAGACCTCAACTCCACACTTGCCTACCATGACACCAACAGCATTAAAAACCAAATCAAATTTGAACACTACTCCGGTCGCATTGAAGTTACTCACTTTGAGGAGAGCAACTCTTTCATGACTTTCAGTGGACTGCAGGGCCACCGCACTTCAGTGTCTGCTCTTGATCCTCAGTTGCAGGCCCTTGGAGATGATCAGTTCTCTGGTCCCTCGCAAGAAGTCTACCTCCTGGACGCAGACTCAGATGACATCCCAGCCAAGTTGGAAATGTACATCAAGAAGAACGCTTCTTACTTTTACGAGCGAGAGACCTCGCCTTTCATGAAGCCCACTTTGCTGCTCGCTGCTGAGCTTAGCCAGGGGAAGAAGGTATGTTGTGTGACATTCAATATGGAAACGTGTACTGACATAGATGCAGGATATCCTTCTGGAGCGCGTGTTGGAGCTGTGGGTCGCGACCCATATTCTCGTCGACACAGAACTCACCTGGAAGACTTACTACAACCCTACTCTGCCCCCGAACTCGTTGCACTCTCTTTCTCAGCCATCGGATGAGGGCCGTCTGCCCATCGAGGAGGTGTCTGACCCAGAATCGTATGGACTTCTCTGCAGTCAGTTGCGCGCCGCCATGGAGAAGCGTGCCTCGCAGCTAAGCAAGTTTGTCATCAATGATTTGGAACGTCGACTCCTTCAGCGCCAGAAGTGTGGCTGGTTTGATACTTTCATTGTGGCTATTATCCTCCTGAACTGCGTGGAGCGCACCTGCTGGCTGTTCCGTTCATGGGACAACGAGAATTTTTCTCAGCGCGTAAGTGGTTCCTGGCTACTCTTTCATGATGCATCACATACTAAGAATCCATCCAGTGGCCCCTTGACAAGCGTCCTCCCTACTACTTCAACCAGTCTGACCGCTTCTCTGACATCCTGGAGATGCTTTTGCGCATGCGCCACATTCCTCCCAAGGCCACTTTCCGTCCGGACAATGGTATTCTGAAGGCAGTCGACGGTAGCGACGAACACGCCGTCCGCTGGTTTGATATGATTCAACTGACCCGTACGTCACATCACATTGTATCATGATTTGCATATATCTGAAGTTCCTTGACTAACATTATTTTCTGCACAGCCTACTTCATCGAAGAGCGCAAGAACGCCGTCTTCGACCCATCCGACTCGCGCTCCCTGGATTGCCACCACAGTGCCAATCTCCTTGAGCCCAACAATGCCACTTAGCTTCTGACAACAAAAACGAACAAAATCACCACAAAAAGTCAAAAAGCACAAAATCTCGAAAAAAGGAACCAGCAAACAATGTCCGAGTCACCTTTTTTTTCGTCCTTTGCGTTGTCAGTGTAGGGTAGGTCAATTGCTGGCCATTACGAAAGCGATAGCGAAATACATGGTATCAGTCCAAGCCTCAATTTGGTTCTGGATTGAGGCTGGTCTTGGGTCTGATTTGCTTATGGAGTTTGTTTGCAGGTGGATTTATTTTCAAGCGAACTGCGATAGAAAACATCGGAGGAATCCATGGGTGTGGAATGTTCTGATCTTTCTAATTGGGTGTTCGTGGGTGTTGAAGGGTGTTTTTTTTTTTAACCTTCCGATATCTGTAGCTTTAAACCTTTATTCATTAGGCTTGAATGTATGAAGTAAACATTATTTCATCGCTGAAGTAAAGTAATGTGTTTTATATAGATGCAGTGAGATCAGTTCGATATGCATGTACACTGAGGTTGGGCCGCAGTCACTGGGTCAGGGACAGGATCAGGGCTAAAGAGTTAAAAATATCCATAAAATCATATAAAATCATACAATATAGTATTTTGTACTATTTTACAATATTTTATTCAAGTCTAATTGGCTGACTCTTTATTCCAGCCATAGAATAGAATTCTTGGATGACGTACGCTCAGGAATCGGGTGATGGGGACTTTGACCTTAACCCGGACCTTTCACAGGGAAAATCCCCCAGACTTTACTTCCTCAACCATGCCTCCATTTCGGAACTTCCTACGACCAAAATCCCAACCCAATGGGGATCCCGCTGTCTTGGATGAGAACCATCTCTCTTCAAATCAGCGCCCTTCGCCCATACCGATCCGCAGTAGCCAGGATGAACCCACCGAGTACAAATTGAGTGGTATGCTTGAATCCCCGCACTTCTTTGACTGATGTGGCTGCTGTGACTGCTGTGACTGCTTTGGCGACTTCACTCTCTGGAAATGCTAATCTCACTCCTTAGTGGTCAACGACAGCGGTGTCTATCTTCCGGTATAGGTTGTGTGATCGGGAAATGCGTTACACCTGCTAATTATTGTGATAGCCTTCTCCCCCAGAGCGGTCGAGCTTTTGGCGCCGGTACCCGGGTTCCAACAAACCCATCAACCATCGAGATCTCGTTGATGAGAATGAGCCTTTCTCCATCTCTCGCGAGTCCTTTGACTCTTACCGCCGATCATTTGTATGCCCCGTGAACCTATCCGAATCGATCCGCATGAATCCGACTGACGTTAAATCTCCAATGTAGGATATCTCCGCGCGCTCACCCATCATCCACCCCGATGCTGGTCCTTCTCGAACTTCTCTTGACTCTCGATTCTCCCGGTTAACCCCGTCGGGCACTCACTCCAATAGCCTCACCAAGTCTGAAATCATGGAGGAAGAAGCCTTCGAAGAAGTAGGATTAAATGACGAGGTGAAACCTAAGAAGAAGGGTTTCCTCTCAAGATTTGGTGACTCTAGTAACGATGCGCAAGCACCCGGGCCCAAGACTTCTACCTCGTCCTTCGGCTTCCACATTCCCGGCCGGA